TCAGATGCCGGCCAGAGCAGCACATGGCGGCCGCCGCCTGTTCATGAAGCCACGCGACCGTCTGGGCGTCAGGGTCCACATGTATTCCGAGCACCTCGGAGCTGGTGAGCGTGGCGAGGCGGAGGAGGAGAAGGAGAAGGAGGAGGATGAGGAGGAGGAGGAGGAGGGACATGCCCGAGCACCTCGGAGCCGGCGAGGGTGGCGAGGGACACGCGGGCAAGTGCCGAGCCCTCCGGCCATTCGAGATGCACCTGGAGCCGCGGTCTTTCAACCCGCCCTCCTCCTCCTCCTCCTCCACCAAACGCAACAAACTTCTGCGACCTCGCAAGGTATATCGGACGGCGCACATGCAGCGCAACGCTAGCCTTGAGGCATCGCGGGCGGCAGTGCCAAGCTCGGCCATAGCAGGGAAGCAGTGTGTATCCCATCTCTGGGGCTCTTGGGGGCTGGGGCGTCCCAGGCACAGGGGGCAACACGCACAGGGCACTTGCAGCGCGCTGCAGTCGAGGTTGATTGGAGAGGACACGCGCGAGGGTACAAGACCCTTCCGAGGGCCACATCGCCATAGGAATGTAGAAAGCGCGGGCCGCGAAACACACGACAGAAGGGCACTCTTGATTTTGATTCCGCAAGGTCGACCTACTAACGAGCCTCGACCGTAGGTGTGCGTCAGGCATTCTGCAGTTCCCACGGGCGAACACACAGCGCCGTGTGGAGCGATGGCCAGAGCCCAACGGAGAGCACCCTTTCAACACCTGGTCTCAGAGCTCTTGCTCCATAGCTATGTTCCCCACCCCACGGTAATTGCGGCCTTCTGGTGACCCTGAGACGCTCCAAGAGAGCCGGCCAAGGCGGCTTACGACCGCGTCTTACACTATTCAACCCCAGCTTCGACGACTCCACGCTCGGAGCCGCCCGCAGGACCTCCCAAGACCCTGCAGCTGCCTGAACGCAAGCGCCTCCGAGGCACACTTGTTGGGCTCGCAGAGCTGGCGGACGCGAGCGCGACTGCAGAGCCGACGGGCCGCGCCGGACACTGGGCGCACCAGCGCGGGTGGAGAAGCGCAGGACGGCCGCGGAGGAGCAGGGAGGACCTCCGAGGCACGCCATGTGGGCCACCGATGAGGCCCTCGGAGGCCAATGCCGTCGAGCAGCGCAGCGGAGGGCCGCCGAAGCCTGCCTCCGAGGACCTCTGGCTGGGGCCTGCGGCGGCGCCACCCGCCTGCACTGCCCGGGCGGGGGCCGCCACGGCCGCCTGAGAGGCTGCCGTTCCACGGCACTGCCCCGTCGGCGCGCGGTCCCCAAGTCGGGGGGTGGCGCCCAGGTGGGGGAAGTCAGCGGGGGCGGGCCTCCTCAGAAGGCTCGGGAGGCCACCGACCCTGCGAGAAGTCCTCCAGGCCTGCTCCGAAGACGGAGGCGGCGGCCCAGCATCCCCAGGAGCTTCGCAGAAGCCCCGCCCCCTCTATGAGGGGGCCAGCCCCCATCTCGCTCCCCTCCTGGCCTCGCCGCCGGCCCCGTCCGGGCCCGAGGGCCTGCGAGCCTGGGCCGGGCCCGCGCGCCGCACGGCCCAGGGCCCCGCGGCGCACAGGTGGCCGAAGCATCGCGGGGGTGGCTGTGGGCTGTCGGCTCCGGCCTCCACAGCTTCAGGATGCAGGCGGGACAGAATCCGCTCCGCTCGGTGGCCGTGCGGGACCGGGTCCTCTCTGCTGGAGCACTCTGCGGAAGCGAATCCGCGCTGCCAGCAGCAGGTGTAGAAAGCAATGGTGTTCTCACCACTCATCCTCCCACGCGTACTTTGCCTGGGAACCAGCTTGAACTTACACTACGGTCACATTCCATACTAAGGACGGGCGGTAAGGACACTAGGGCCTCGGACGCCGAGGTTGGTACTCTTGGGGCGGCGGACTGCCAGTACCCTGAAGGGCTGGGCAGTGAAAACCGCGAAGGACGGGCCGCAGAGGCGAGGACGCAAGGGCACCCCGAGGACATCCGCGCGTCCCTACTAGAGTGGGGGCCAGTCCACAGGAAACCTGCCACAAGAAACCCAACCCTGAGACCCCAGGACGCCCATGGATTTCTGGTGTGGGAGCGTCACGCCTTCCACGGCAAAACCATCGAAACCTGACAAACCCAGGGCACCCTGGAGGCAAGCAGTGTGTTTCTCGGCATGGGTCTCAAGCGTATGCGTCTTGACCGTGCTCCGTCGGCTGGCGCGCGGGGGGGGGGCTCCATGCCTGGCGCTCGCGCCGAGGTCGGAGGGGCCACGCGCACCTCCTCCTCCTCCTCCTCCTCCTCCTCCTCCTCCTCCTCCTCCTCCGCCGCCGCCGCCTCCTCCTCCTCCTCCTCCTCCTCCTCCTCCTCCTCCTTATCCTCCTCCTCCTCCTCCTCCGCCTCCCTAGAAGAAAAGGGCCCAGCCGCCGCCGACCTGCAGAACGACGGAGGGGGACTCGTATCCCATGCGCAGCTGCATGAGCACGACCTGTAGGCTTCTGTTGCTCCCATCGCACAGAAGGACCACATCCCAGAAATGAGTTCGAGCACCCGAAAAAGTGTCGAAATGGTGTCGAAAGAGTGTCGAAACAGTGTCGCACGAGTGTCTCCCAGGGCCCGACACGTGAACACCCTTGAGTTTGGGGGTACTTTTCTCGTGCTCGAAATTCTTTCTGGTGGCCAAGGCTAAAGTAGGCTGGAACATCATAACTGTAGGCAGCCACTTGGTCACATGGCCGACTTCGGAAACCCTGAACCCAGGAATGTCGACATCTCTTGGAGGGCAACGCTTTACTCCCGACGCCTTTCGCAGCCCTTCCGCTGGCCTTCCGCCGGCGGAGGCGGCCTCGTTTTACTTCCGCCGACCTTCCACCGCCCTTCGCCTTCCGCCGAGGAAGAGGTGAACACTCCTTCGATCCTCGAAGACAAGGCCCCTTTTGGAACGCCTCGCATGTGAACCATACAACAGCCAGCCCGTATGATGAGGACGCACGATAAGGATGCAAGGGCCTTGGAATGCCATGCCGACGCTTTGCAGGCGGGGCGCGGGCACCTTAGCAAGTCGCTCATCCTTCCTGTGCGGGTTGACTCTGCCCCTGCAGGCTGGATTGCTGAAGCGCAGGCTGGGGGTCAGAATTCATGGGATGTCTGCAGCCAGGTGAACCCCAGCGGGGGGGCGGTGGTGTCCGATACCCGAGCGTCGATCGAGCCCAGGGGTACACGTCGTTCATTTCTAAACGTGCTCATCTCTGATTGCGCTCGTTTCTGATTGCTCCTGGCCCCCTAGTGGCCAGGAAGAGGCCCAGGATGGACCAACTAGAAAGGAAAGGATCTTGGCCCCCCAACAAAAATCAAAGCACTCTCGAAGAATTAGACATGAAGGGTGCACAGTCGGGGCCTTGACCTATGGAACCCCAAATCAGGAACGAGGCCCCTTTTTGTCCATCAGTTAAACTTCGATTTCCCATCGAAAACCTAAGGAACACCTGAGGCAAGCTGCGAACCACTTTAAAGGGAAATTAGGACACACAAATAAATACACACAAATAAATAGATTCCCCATATTTTCCCATATTTTCTGGGGTTTTGTCTTCCCCCCCACTTCCCATATTTTTGCATATTGTCCTGGGAGTCGACGATTAATTGTGTCTGTGTGTTTCTTTTCCCCCTGACACTTAAGGAACGCGGAGCCCCTCCCCAACCAAAAGGGTTCCTTCTTCAGGGCCCCGACTGCATGATATCAGCAGGTGCCCTCGCCGAGCCTGGGCCTCCCAGCACTGCCGCGCATCCGGCGTCCCCGGCTCCCGGTGCAGGAAGGAGTAGCTCGCCACTGGAGGCGGGCGGGCGGCCCGAGCTGGAGAAGCCCGGAGAGCATCGGTCAAGACGGTGGCCCTCTGTGGGCGAGTCGGCTCTGGGCTCGCTCGACGACTCTGTGGGCTCGCTTGGCGACTCCCTGGGCTGGGGCCTCGGTGGGCGCGCGCGGGGCCTCTGTGGGCACTGTCGGTGGCCTCGGTGGGCAGCGCGCCGGAGGGCCTCGGTGCGCACTCCTATAGGGGCTCATGCCTCTGTGGGCTTGGGCCTCTGTGGGCAGCGCGGCGGGGCCTCTGCAGGGGAGTTGAGCAGGGACCGACCGCCCCGGCATTCCTATTACCTTGCCTCAGGCTCCTGGCTATATACCCGTGTTTTTTCCCCTCCTGCAGACTCTGCACCCGGACCCCTCGCGGGGCCGAAGGACGGACCCGCTCGCGCCGCGCCGCGCGCACGGCCGTGGCCACGCGGGGCCCTCTTCCATGCTCTTCGGGGGGGGGGGGGGCGCGCCAGCACGGATATGAGCGACGCGTGGCCTCTCCGCGCGCGGTGTCGCCAGAATCCATGCATCGTGGGAGGCTTGAGCGGGGACCGACCGCCCCGGCATTTCTATAGTCCTACCACGAAAGATTCTTAGAACCCAAACATGTTCTGAGAACAAAAACCATGTTCTTAGAACAGATTCCCGATGTGTTCAAACAAGACAGTCCCAGCCAGAAATGTTCTAAGAACATGTCGTGCAGACCACAAAAGGTTCTTAGAAAATTGTTTGGTGGGGCTATAGGCGAGCCAGGACGCTTCGCCACTGCTTGGGAGGTGCCCTCACCAAAAGGCGGCCGGCACCGCCTCGTTCGGCGCGCGGGAAGCCGCGCCTTCCAATCTGGCAGCGGGGCCCGTCGCTAGGCCATCCGCCCCCTTGAGATCCATGCCTGCGATCGCCTGAACCATCCCCCTCGCTTGCTGCTGGCCGGCACCAGTGCTCGGCCACCTCTGCCCCCCCCGGCCGGCTCCAAAGCTCGTGTCCAGCACCACCAGGTAGCAGTCCCCCGCCAGCTCGGCCTCGCGCTCGAGCTGCGCCATCCCCTCGTCGAGCCCGAAGCGCGAGAGGGGGGGCGCGCGGTGCGGCGCGCCGTGGAGGCCGGTCGTGTTGATCGCGGAGCGCGCCCAGCAGCGCCCCTCGGAGTCGAAGCTGGCCGTGGCCCGGCTTGAGAGGTCGAGCCAGCCTGGCCGAGGCAGCTCGGGTCCTCCAGGGGGAGCAGGAAGCGCAGATCCGGGCGCCGCAGTCTTGGCACGCTCGGCGCTTTCGCCCAGCGTCGGGCCGCAGGACCGTCACGGCTCGAGGCGGCTCGGGAGATCCCGCGGAAGGACGGGAGGCTTTGGTCGAGACGTCGGATCTCAGGGCAAGCAGGCAAGCAACAGCGCCATGGGTTCTGTGGCAGAGCCGCGGGCCGACACGGCAAGCTCAAAAGCCTTTGCGAACTGCGAGGGGCGTTGCTGGTCAGAGCCAAGCATCTCTCGCATCTGGTCCCCGGGCCCCCACAACAAGCTGCACTGCCCCAGGAGGGGGAGGGGGAGGAGGAGGAGGAGGAGGAGGAGGAGGAGGAGGAGGAGGAGGAGGAGGAGGAGGAGGAGGACGGGGATGAGGAGGATGGGGATGAGAGGACGGGGATGCTGAGGAGAGGGCAACCCCAAACAATAAGCAGCACACTCGAAGGCAAAGTTCGGGGCCCTCCTCCTTTGCCCCCAGCAGCCAAAGTGATCACGGTCGAAACAGGCCGAAGCCTCCTGCGGGCAGGGATAGGGGCACAGGGCGAGTGCGCCTCGCGAGGCCCAGCCAACGCCTGCCCCAGACCAACCCTCCTCCTCCTACTCCTCCTCCTCCTCCATCCCTCTGCCCTACAAGCAACATCTCCCTGTCCTGCCCCCAGACGTGTCGGCAGGGCGGGCTGGGCGTGTCGCCGGACAGTCCCGAACGCCTTGTGATCCTGCACCTTGAATTCCGCAGTCGTCTCATGGATCGCGGGCGGAATGTTTTTCAAATGTGGTTTTCTCCAGAGCGCCTCGCACATTCGTCTTGAACCCTTGCGGCAGTCTTGAAGATGGAGACAGGTCGTTTTCATCATGTGGTCATGGCCCAGCCGCCCCGAACATTCGTTTTACAAGTTCGCAACCGTATTAGGGATGGGGGCGGCTCCTTTTCAACATGTGTTTTCGCCTTAGCACCGCGCACATTTGTCTTAGAAATCTGTTATAGCTTCACGGACTGAAGGCGGCTCCTTGTCAAAACGTAACTCGCCTTGAAGCCGCGAGCATTCGTGTGGAAAAATGCAACTGCTTCGCGGATGGATGGCGGTTCGTTTTCAACATGTGGCTCTCCCCCCAGCACCGCGCACATTCGTCTTACAAGTCTGCTGCTGCTTCACAGATGGAGGGCGGTGCCTGTTCAATGTGTCTTTCGCCTGAGCACCGCGCGCCTTTGTCTTAAAAGTTTGCTGCATAATCAAGATTTGGTATGATTTTGGAGTCGCAGGACTGGTGTTCAGGCGCAGTTCACGATTGTCAGGGCGCACCAGCTACGTTGATTAAATGGTGTTCTGGCTAAGTTTAAAGTTGTCAGGACGCAATAATCACGCTGATCCGCGGCGTAGAGATTCCAGGAGTTATGATTCGTCACGGATGATGATTTTCAGACGTTTGTCTTTACTGTGCCACTTCCCGCAATGAGAGTACATCACTTTGGGGACCTATAACACACGGCCTTGGAGAGAAAGGCTCATTGCAATATTGTTGATGCGACATGGGTTCACACTGTTGCTCCTCTTCCTCTTTCTCTTCCTGTTTTTCATATTGTTGCTCCTGCTCTTGCCTGTTATCCTCCTCCCCTTCCTTCCACCCCTCCTCTTCCCCACGCGTGCGCGCTGGTGTTTCCCACCCCCCAGGATCCGATGTGGCCGCTGAGCACGAGCAACCGAAGCTCGCGAGGCACTCCGCCAGTCGTGGCGTCCCCGGCCGCCTCCTTCAGCGCCGCCAGGAACCGGGACTGGTCGCTGTCGACCCGTTCCTTCACCTTGTGGGAAAATCGCAGCGGATGTTTGTTCATCTGCATTCGGTCGCTGGTCCGGGCGGGCTCCAAGGCTATCAGGAAACAGGCCCGGACGAAAAGCTGGCCTCGGGGATGGGGTCGGGGTTTCTGGGGGCCCTGCAACACTAGACGGTGTTGATGCTGATGATGATCAGATCATAACCCATGGGGGTGCCAGCAGGTACCTTCGAATCTGGAGAAGCCCCTAGGATCAGGCTGCACCCGGGCGTAAGTTCGCGATGCGCGGCCACGTGCCCCGCGGCTGGCCGCACAACGATGTTGCCGTGACGGCTGCCGCTGCACACCCCGGAAAAAAAGGCGCATTGGGCAAGCTCGCTCACGGCGCTGCTCTCTGAGGCCGCTACCCTCAGCCTGCCTGCGGTGTGCGGCGTCACCAGGGGCGCCCCCGCGAGGCACCCGCCTGGCCGTGCCCTCCCACAAAAGGGTAATTCCACCGAAGCCACTCCCGCCTCATCGCGGGCATCGAATACAGAGCAGCTCATCAGACCATGTGGCCCGCGCTGGTGCCAAGGCCTCTAGATCCGCAGTGGGGTGGCCGAGGCGCTACGCTCCCGCTCAGATCAAACGGCGCTGCTCTCTGGGGGGCCGTTGCCCTCGGCCTCCTTGCGGTGTGCGGCGTCACCGGGGGCGCCTGCGCGGGGCACCCGCCTGGCCGTGCCCACTCCCAGCGGGGGGAGTCCACCGAAGCCACTCCCGTCTCTGAAACTTCCGCACCTGTGTAGGAAGAGCTCCCTGTAGTTTTCATCCTGCCAGGCGGCTTCCTCGAACATCTGGAGGCACTCCGTGACGAGTATTTTCCTGAGCGCTCGGAGCGCCATGTGCTGCACCAGGGGCTCGCAAGCGATACACGTTGGCACGACCTCGGAAACGACCGCGCCCACGAAGATGTTGAGCCACTCTGGCATCAGCTCGTCGTAGTCGCTCAAACAAATAATGCGTCGCACGTGCATCCTGGTGTTGTTGAGTGGGACAACGGGGCGCCGACGGACACAAAGAGCACGACATGGAACTCCGGCTGCGCGCATGCGCTGAAGTGCTTCACCAACAGGTGGTCCTCCGAGTCGTGTGATATGGACTTGTCGAAAGTGGCGTACTCTTCGCGCGTCACTTCCTCAGGCTTGCGCTTCCACAGCGGTTTGGCGTCCCCGATCTCCAGGCCGAGTCCCGCCTGGATCGTGGTCATCAGCTTTTTGCCGTCGAAAGCTGTCAGCTGCTGCACGAGGTGCACATCCGCGGGGTCAGTCACGATGAGAACCTCCACGCCCTGCTGTCGCAATGTCTCCCAGATGGGCGACGAAGCCGAGCCACCTATGCTCGCGCAGTAGGTGTCGTAGATGTGAGTTTGGTCCCGCGCCATGCGGCACACGTACTCCTTCAAACTAATCTTCTCGTCCCCTGACCACGAGGTGTGGTAGCGCATCAGTTCCGCGAACTTGGTAAAATTGTGCGGACCATCTAGTACGGCCAGGTGGTCCTCCCCACCATTGGAAAGGGACTTGTGGAAGGAGGCGCGCTCTTCGTAGGTCACGTCCCCAAACTTGCACGTCCACACCTCTTTGTACGTGTCGAGCTGCTCCCGCTTTTGCGAGACCTCCTTCACCTGCTCCATCAGCAAGGCCCCATCCTCCTTCTCCTTTCCCGCTTCTACCTCCTCGATGTTCGACTCGTCTCCCTTTTTGCTTTCCTCGTTCAGCATAATTATCATCATCCTCCTCGTGCCCTGTTTCAGTGGCCTCCTTCTCTTTCTCCTCAGACCTCGCATAGTGCCGCTGGGTGGGGAAGCCAATGAACTCCTGTCTCAGTCTGGGCGGCGGAGCGGCCACCGTGTTCCAGAGGACTATGATGTTGATCTGTTGTGCGTGTCGGGTATGAGTGCGACGAATCCTCGCACGTCTGCGCGAGCTGGTGGAAGAGCGAAGTGAGGTCACACAGGCATCAACTCCCTGGCAGCACAACGTGTCGCGTCCGTGTCAGATTCCAAGAGGGCGGCCGTGCGTCGCAATCGCAGTGTGCCGAAGAAAGGCGATGGAATAGAGGGCGCGCGGACTGGCCTTCTTGCCTCCAGACCTCGGGCCAGGGTTATGTTGATGATAATGATGATGATGCTGATGATGACGATGCTGATGATGATGATGATGATGATGATGATGATGATGATGATGATGATGATGATGGTGAAACTGATGATGTGGTGGGCTCTTGTTCTTGCGTGGGGTGCCCAGAGACAACAATAACCTAACTTAGACTGTGTGGGGAAAAAAACGTCAGGTCTCTGGACGCATGACTGGAGAATACATCAGGATCCCCCTCCCCTCTGCCGAAGGGTCCAGAATCTTCAAGGCGGAGCTTCAGCCTCCATGCTGGAGGTCCTGCTTCCTTTGTCCTGGAGGTTTCCCGTTTCAGCTTGGAGGATCGTGGAGGTATGCAGCCGCTGGGCCAGTCTCCGCTGCCCCAAGTGAGGGGAGCTCACAGTCCCTGTGATTTGGGCTGTCCTGGCACCTTTTGCCATGGGCTCAGCCCCCACTGCAGGAAGCCGATGGGGCCCCTCAGCGCCGCCGTGAGGTCGAGAGCCAGCCCAGAAGGCAGCTCCAAGGCAAGGTCACGCGGCCGCACAAGCACCCGCACCTGAGCGCACGAGAAACCGCGCAGCATGCGACTTCAGTCGGGGGCATGGCCAGAGGTCTTACAGGAGGCAACTCCTGGGAGTTGTTCGGAAGACGATTCAGGGCGATAAGTCCGATCAAGAAGCCATTCAACCAGATTAGCCCGTATCAAGCCCCATCTTCAGCCAGAGCAAGCCAGATTCATCGGGCTTCAGCAGAACTGCACAGGATTATACCAGATTGGGCATATTCCCGACCACAGATGTACCAGCGCCGATGCTGCATTTAGCCTCCCAGGAGTTGCACCCGAAGTCAGAGGGGCTGCTGAAAGGTGTGTTGAGGCGTACCCGAAGCGTGCAGTGCCGACATACTGCAACCGCCCCGAGCCCAAAGGCCCCCATGGCACAAGCGCTCGCTGCAGAGCTTTCTCTGCCGAGGACCGGGCGGTCTCCCGAGAAGAACTTTGGACCGCCGTCGGCGGCGGCGGCCCCCTGCAACGCGGGCCCGAAGCTGATGTTGTGCGCCTCTGCGCTGGCGGCGGCAGCGCCGCCTGCATCAGGCCCCACAGCTCGCAAGCAGGGCCCGCGGGCTTCCGGGGACAGCGGAGCTTCCTGCAGGCCCCGGCCTGTCCAGGTGACAAACGAAACACCACCCCACCTGCTGAGTTCGGATCAGGGCGAATTGAGACAACGGCAACTCAAAATCGGTGCCCGGACCCCTCCCGGGGTCCAAGCGCACCAGCTTCCTGAGCTGCGTCCAGCCGTGGCGACGAGGGCCCCCCCCCGAATGCCAGCTGTATCAACTCGTGCTCCCCTGAACCTGCTGGCTTACCCTGCTCCCTACGGTGAGGGCATAAGATAAGGAACTCTTGAGTAAGAAATCTATGGTCTGGAAATCTGTAGATTCCAGATGGGGCCTGGCCATGGATATCACCGCCGCCCTCATCAGGTAAGGAACCCTCCAGGGTCTGAAGCCTTCTGGGCACAAACCTTAACGAACGTCCCCACCGTATTGGCTACATACACGCAAGAGTGACCCTGGGTAAGGGTGACCTTTGGTGCGCGGCTTTTGGGGGGCAACGGGGGAACCAAACACAAGCGCGCAAGACGCGAATACCGCATCGCGTTCGGCGATCGGGGGACCCCATTGGTCGGGGATCTCTGACCCTGGCCAATCCAGACCCGGGTCCGTCGGGCCTTGCAAGATCCGGCAAAATCCTGAAGAGTCCTGTGCCCAAGCCCCGGTCAGTGCAGCCCTGGCCCTGCAGGATCCTGCAAGATCCGAGATCCGGCGCTCTGGCTGACCCCCGTCTGCATGGACCCACGTCTCTTGAGACCCGAATTGGGTCCGCGCCAGACGTCACTCTGGCAAAAGGTCACTCTCACGTGTACACCCTGCGAAATGCTTAAGAAATCAAGGGTTAAGAAATTCATAGTCTCAGAACTTGATAAAAAAACAGCATTACTATCAAAATCTTAGGATTTACATTGAAACATTAAGAATAATCGAGACTCTGGCCGAAAACTTGGGTTTTCTTAAACATCGCCTAAAGTGTAGTCGATTCTCAGCCTGGAGAAGAGGCATGAGGCGACGCCACTCGATCATGGAAGCAGGAGGGCGCCCAAAGCAGCTTGGAATCTGGGATTCCTCAAAAATGCCGTCTCTCAACGACAGATGGGCAATCGATTGTTCGCCTGGCCAGGGCCCCTCCGATCGCCCCAGAGGCCCCTGCATTGCTTGCTGTGGCGCTCTTGGGGCGCTCTTGGGCCGATCTTTGGCGCTCTTGGGGCCGTCTGGGGGGGCTGGCTGGGCCCCTCTTGGGGCTCTCTCGGGCCATCTCGGAGAGGCCCCGTGAGGCCTCACAAGCGCATCGGAAGCGACAGGTCGAGAAGGCAAAAGTCATTGATCAATTTCGTGCGCTTTTGAAGGCTGTTGGCTTTTGGGGGGTCCTGAGAAGGGCTTCGGGAAAACTTGAATTGAGCAGGGACCGACCGTCCTGGCATTCCTATAAGCCTACCACGAAGTCTTCTCAGAACCCCAAAAAATGTTCTAATAACAAAAGCAATGTTCTTAGAACGTAAGCCCGATGTGTCAAAACAAGACAGCCCCGGCCAGAAATGTTCTAAGAACATCTCGTGGAAACCACAATCGGTTCTTAGAACATTCCTTGGTAGGCCTACAGTCCGGCCGCTGAAAGAAGGAACGCCAAATAAGGAAAGAAGCCCCTTCTTGGCCCTGCAAGCGCCCTCCGTGCCCCAGGAGGGCAAGAGGAACAGCACTGGAGGAACCTAAGGAACATCGAGCCCCTTCCGAACCCGAACTGTTCCTTATTTCAGCGTCTTGACCGTATAGGCGAACCAGGACGCTTCGCCACTGCTTGAGGAACCGTCTTGACATCACCGCGGGCCTGGCCCTGCTGCCGCACCCGCCGCCGAGGCTGCTGCAGCGCCGCCGCTGCCGCCTGCCTCCGCCGCCGCGCCCCCGGGGCAGCCTTCTTGGCGGCGACGATGACGACGACGACGGCGACGACGGCGACGACACTGCCTGGAAGCCTCCCAAAGCTCCCTGGAGGCCCGCACGTCGGCCCGCAGCCCCGTCGGGAGGAAGCCGAGCGAACAGAAAGCATCTATCTGGGACCGAGGCGGCGGACCAGGGAGGGGAGGGGAGGGGAGCCCGCCCGCGCCGTGCCCGAACAGGAAGTCGCCGTGGTTGGCCGCCTCCCCGCTGCCGCGCGGCGCGGGCTGCGCCGCGGCGCGGGCGCTCGCGGGCGCGGCCTCCGCGGCGCCGTCGGCGTCGGCGCCCAGCCGCGCCGCCGCCGAGGGGCGGGCTGCTGGGGCGGCCTGAGCGCGGCCATCGGCGGCGCACATCGCTCCGCCCGGGCGGCGCGCCGTCGGGCGCGCGCTGCGCGGCCCACTCCGCGCGAGCGCACGGCGGGGTGACGCTGGGGGTGGCGACGCGGACGAGGCACGCGACGGCACGATGCGGGTGGCGACTCCGACCAGCACGTGCCCGCGGCGTGCGCTCGGCTCGGAGGGAGGCTCGCATGCCCGCAGGGAGCGGGTCCCGTACCGAAGGGCACCTCGGTCCCGAGGACCCTGCACACCAGGATCGCAGGGAGCGGGTCCCGTGCCGAAGGACGCCTTGTTCCCGAGGACCCTGCGCACCGGGATCTGCGCGTCAGGATCGCACTCGTCCTGAGCCTCCGCCGCAACAGAAAGTCGCACTCATGCGTGAAACATACCGTCAAACACATGATTAAGACAATTATCAATTAAGAGAGCTGGGCCAGCTTTTCAGAAGTTTCTTAAGGAGACGCTGGGCCAGCCTTTGGAGCCAGGAACGTACACTATTCATTTCTAGGGTCCAAGGCTGCCAATCCCCTTACGAAACTGAGCCAGCTTTCCGGCAAGTTGGTTAAGAAACGCTGGGCCAGCTTTTCGGGGGGAGGTGTCTGACTCATAAGCGGGACCGTACTTGCGGGCAGCTTGAAGGCGATGCAATGCGATCCACGTATCCAGTCATCCGGCAGTGGCGCGGAGAAACACAGGCACGGAGAAGCCAAATCGCTAGACATGACCACGCCTGAACGTCAATGCCCCCTCCACTGCGCGCCCCTCCGTCCCACTGAAGGCAGACTGAGGAGAGGGGACGCATAGATTTCAGTCGGGCGTGTCCCCCTACAGGCGGATCTTGGACGAAAAATAAGAAATAGTCAAACATACACGAACAATGCTCACAAATAAGCAACAAATCGTCCAGGACTAATTATTTGCATATTCCTCCTGTAGAGGGACAGGCCCGACTTAAGCATAGATGAGGAAATCGATGAGGAAGTCGGCCAATGGCGACGCGCACGCATCCTGTCCAGCAACAGCCGCGGCACGGCCGAAGGCCCTCAGTGAAAAACCCAGGCCATGCCAGCACCCTCCGGCCCCCCCCCCCTTTGCCCGAAACCTTTCGGGGACGGGGCGAGCAGGCAGCCAGAGCACGTCGAGCCGCTGGGCGACGGAGTGCACACACACACACACCACCTCACGCATTTGGGGCCCACTGCCAGGGCAGAGGCGTTTGAGAACCGGGCAGGAGACGGGAACGGACGGGAGAGGGACAGGGGAAGAGGGAGGGGACTGGGACCAGGACGGTGGCCTGCCTCCGAAAAGACGGCGACGACGACTGTGGGGCCAGGACTGTGGCAGAACCGGGCCCGAGAAGAGAGGACGGGCCCCGAGAGGGGGCGGCCGCGCTTCGCACGAGCCGGGAAGAGCGAGAGGGGAGGGCCGAGGGGAAGTAGCGGCCTCCTAGATGGGGGCGGAGCATATGGGGTCGGAACATCGCGCCGCATCGGCGATGCATCGGCGATGCATTGGCGATGCATCGGCGATGCTCCTGCGATGCATCGCCGACGTCGGCGATGCATCGGCGACGTCGACGTGAAGCACATCGGGCTCCACATCGAGACGCATCGGCGACGCATCGGCGATGCGGCGCGATCCTCCGACCCCACCTGCCCCGACCCCATCCAGGAGGCCTGGAGGAATGCAAGGGGCGAAGAGACAGAGGGGAGGACGGGGGAGGAGGAGGAGGAGGAGGAGGAGGAGGAGGAGAGAGGAGGAGGAGGAGGAGATGAGGAGGAGGAGGAGGAGGAGGAGGAGGAGGAGGAGGAGGAGGAGAGGAGGAGGAGGAGGAGGAGGAGGAGGAGGAGGAGGAGAGAGGAGGAGGGGGAGGAGGAGGAGGAGGAGGAGGAGGAGGAGGAGGAGGAGGAGGAGGAGGAGGGGGGGAGGGGGAGGGGGAGCGGCGAGGCGGGGAGGCGCAGGCCCGGGAGGTGCAGAGGGAGCGGGAGGGAGGCGGCAGTGGCCACGCGCGGGAGGGCCCCCCCGGGGGCCGCGGGGGGGGGGGGGCCAGCCCAGGCGCGCGCAGGCCGCTGCCCATCCCCGCAGGCGCGGTCGGCGGTCGGGGGGCCCCACCGCCGGCGGCGAGGACAGGGGCGAACCGCCCAGGGTAGAGCAGTGCCAGGTCTTCGGGTGCGCCGAGGGTCTCTGTCTTCGAAGACGATGGGCCTGCTGTTCCACCACAACCACCACCAGAAGTTGGAGGGGGAGGGGGTCCTCCTCCTTCTCCTCCTCCTCCTCGTCCTCCTCCTCGTCCTCCTCTTCGTCCTCCTCTTCGTCCTCCTCTTCGTCCTCCTCTTCGTCCTCCTCTTCGTCCTCCTCCTCCTCCTCCTCCTCCTCCTCCTCCTCCTCCTCCTCGTCGTCGTCGTCCTCCTTCCCCCCATCCAACTTATGGTGGTGGTGGTGTTGGTGGTGTTGGTGGTGGTGGTGGTGGAAAACAGGCCCATCAGAAAAGGCTCCTGGGCGAATACGTGCAATGCCCGCCCCTGGGCTATTCGCCCCTATCGTCGCCGCCGACCACCGGGCCGGCTTCGAAAGGTCGCTCCGGCGATAGGTCACTCTCGCGTCGGGTCGAGGAACGGGCGGGGCGAAGAGCGGCGGAAGGTCTCTCTCACGTCTGGTCGAGGAGAGGGCAGGGGCGGAGAGCGGCGAAAATCACTCTTGCGTCTAGTCGAGGAAGGGGAGGGGCGCAGATAATAGGGGAGGACAGGGGCGGCGGACGAGGAGGGGAGGCGCTGACCAAGGAGGTGCAGAAAGGAGCAGGAAGAGCTGCATGGATCTGTCTGCAGTCTGCCTCATTACCAGGGCCCAAGGACCCCATGGGACTCCATAGGTCTCCACATGATTCCCTAGGAGTCCCTGGAGCTGTCTGCAGCAGAGCTGTCCCGGCGGCGAGCGCCTGGGGGAAGCGAGAAGGGGCGGGCCCTCTCAGAAGGCCCGGAAGGCCCTCGGCCTTCTGACAAGCTGTCCAGGCCTCCCCCGAAGACAGAAAAAAAAAAAACCTCTCGAAGGCGCGAGGGCTTCCGAGAAGTCCCGCCGCCTCCTGAGAAGGCCCCCTCCGTCTGACTTCCCCCCCCTTGGCTCGCCGCCGGCCGCCGCTCGCCCGCCTCGGAGCCGAGCGCCGCGCGCCGCCAAAACGCCATTTCCGGGCAGCGACGCAGGCCTGAACGTGTTCCAGCGGCTCATGACGGTGTCCACCCTGGCGCCGCTCGCAAGGTCGCGGACCGCGCCCGCGACGGCCTGCTGACAAAAGCCTGGAACTTATCCCTGCCCCTCATTTGCCGAGAAGCACAGAGGCCATGGCAATCTTAGGGGTGCGCCTCAGGAATTTTGAGGGAGCCCTCAAGACCGGCATCGAGTCCTATAATTAGGCTGCCCCGAGACGCACCGCACAACCCGTAGCGTGTTCACACAAAGAGCTCAACACGCAGACTGGAAACGCGGTTCTGGCGCGATGCGTTCGCCAGAGGCCAACACATTGAGTCAAGACGCAACGTGTTAACGCGGGCGTTCTGATGGCGGTACGCGCTGCGCTTCAAGTCGAGCGTATCCGGGCAGCTAAGGCATCGAGACAAGGCGAGGCCAATCATAGGGAAGGAATCAGTTCCACGCCAGTGACCTGGAGTGCGCCCGAGACGAGGGTCCTCTCCTCGGGAAGGAACTGACCGAGCACGTACCTGACGAGCTCCATGCCAGCAATCTTCCGGGGCCGCGAGATGCCGACCCTCACGCGCAGGAAGTCGGTTACGTCTACGAGGAAAGAGACTGCACGAGCACAAACTCGAACTTGCGGCGGTCCGCGCGGATTTCCTGGATCTGCGCTGGACCGCCCGCCCTGGCGCGCCAGGGGCGTCCAGCGCAGATCCCAAGAACTCCGCGCGGGCAGTCGAGCATTCATGCTTCTGCCGCTTTGTCCTCCTCGAATGCCGCGCTCCAGGATGGACTTCACGCCCTTCTGGCCGCCCGCGCCGCCGGACCTCCGGAAGCGCACCAGGCCGACGTCCGTGTCCAGGTCGTCGTACACCACCACGAGGCGATCGGCGGCCACGCCTGGGGACCGGGGGGGCGGAGGAGCACCACAAGGCACCCAGAGGCCCTCTTTCAGGGCCGCGCCCTTGTGGAAATGGGGAAACCAAGAGGTACCAATACCGCTACTCCCCGGACCTCTCACTGGGTGCGTTCTGACCACAATTTCGAGGCGAATCCAGCGTTGGCGACGAGGGCCTCCCAGGAGGCCCCAAAAGGGGAACACGAGGGGAGGGCAGCGGTATGGGTACCTCTTCCTCCTCCGAGGGAAAGCTCTTTGCTCACACCAGCCCGCTCGGGAACCACGCGGGGCTCAACATGGGCACCCCTGTGGGCCTCAGGGCCTGGGGTTAGGTCGGGCATGTCCTCCTACAGGCGGATTTTGCACACAAAATTGAAAACAGTCCAAACATACCCCTGAATGGTCAAACAAATCATTAACAAATCGTTCCCAGACGAGGTTTAAAACTGTTGTTTGGATTTTCCTCCTGTGGAGGGACGTGCCCGACCTAAGCCTGGGATATCCGCCCCAGGGCACGGGCCCAGAGCGGACCCGCGCGGGCTCGGTGGCACGTGCCGGTTCCCCCGTGTCCCCAGCGCCGCGGGCCAGCAGCAGCTCCGCCACGGGCACGCCCGACCTGTTCATGCCGGACGCGGGCTTGAACAGCAGGACCTCGGGCACGCGTGTCGGGACCCAGAAGCGTTTTCATCTCTTGGGGGCGCATTATTTTACTTCCGCCGCCTTCCGCCGAGCGTCCTTTTTATATATATATATATATATATATATATATATATATAAATCAAAAAAAAAAAAAAAAAAAAACAAAAAAAAAAAAAAAAAAACGAGGCCGCGTCCGCCGGCTTCCGCCGGCGAAGGCGGCCTCGTTACACTTCCGCCGACCTCCCGCCGCCCTTCCGCCGCCCTCCGCCGAGGAAGAGATGGCAACTCCTGCAGCCCTCGAAGGCGAGGCCCTTTCTGAAGCGCCCCACATGGTTGCCACTGGCTGGCTCAAGAGAAAAAACTCTGCACCACGACATGGGATCTCAGAAGCTTGCCACCAGAAACGCTTTCAGAGCCCAAGCCGACCAACCAAACACAGCAGCAGCAGCAGCAGCAGCAGCGACCGCGACGAAAACGCTCCGAAAGCGAAAAAGGAAAAACACCGAGACTATCCGACAGCCTCCGAAAACGTTAGAACACCGATTGTAACTAGAGAGCGTTTTTTTACTCGGCGTTTCAGCATTGGGCGAAAAGAGGGGGAGGGGGGGGGGGTCTGGCTCGGGACCTCTGCTTACTGCGACTGTTTGCAGCAGTGCGGCCGGTGGTTGAGGGACCCCACCTGCTCGACAAAGGCGCAAAAAACAGCCAAGATCTACTGCATGGGGGAGGGGACCCGGGATTTTCTGACCCGGGTCAATCCAGACCTGGGTCAGTCAGGCCTTGCAGAACCCTGCAAATCCTGCAAGTTCCTGCACCTAAACCCGGGTCAGCGCGAAAGATCCTCCAAGATCCTGCAGGACCCTGCGCACGAGCCCGGGCCAAGGTGACCCTGGCCCTGCAGGATCCTGCAAGAGGGGGCGCTCTGGCGGATCCCCGTTTGCACTGAACCCCCGTCTCCTAGGCCCCGAGGGGAGGAGGGGAGAGCGTGCGAGGGCCGGCGCCGCTCGGCAAAACAAGGAATCACAAAAGCGCCGACCAAGCAGCTCGGGGGGCGGGGGCGGGGATGGCGTGCCGCGCCGAAGCGCGGTGGGGGAGGGGGAGGAGGAGGAGGAGGAGGAGGAGGAGGAGGAGGAGGAGGAGGAGGAGGAGGAGGAGGAGGAGGAGGAGGAGGAGGAGGGGAGAGGAGGAGCTTCTGCCCAGCGTGTCGCCGCGGCGGCCTGCGGGCGACGCGCCCTCCACAGCGGGCGGACTGCGTGCAGCTCCGCTCCCAGCGGGGCGCGAGGCGCGGGAAGGCTCGGGGCGCTGACGCTCGGGAAAGACGAGGGAAGAGGCCAGCCTCAGGAAGTGATGCCCTTCCAAAACTACACCCTGCGAAATGCTTAAGAAATCATGGGTTAAGAAACTCAGAGTCTCAGAACTTGAAGGAAAACCCAACATTTCTATCCAAATCTTAGGATGCACATTGAAGCATTAAGAATAATCGAGACTCTGGTCGAAAACGTAAGTTTTCTTAAGCATCGCCTAAGGTGTATTCCAAACTAGCCAGAAATTGTCACACACAAAAAAAGTCGTCCCCCCTGTTGCTGTTTTGTGTGTGATGGCCATGTTGGAACACTCCTCCTGTAGAGGGAGCGGGCACGACTTCACGGCTGGCGTCCCGCGCCGAAGCGTGGGGCCAGAGCCAGCGGAGCGACACGCCGTCCAAGAGGTCCCGACCGCAACAAGGGAAACTACCAAGGGCTGATGCCGCTACTCCCCGGACTCTCCGTGGGTGCGTTCTGACCAGAGAGGTTCGATGCGAAGCCAGCGGTGGCGACGAGGGCCTCCCAGGAGGCCCACAAAGAGGAGAACGGATACAGAAACGGGAGAACGAGGGAAGGGAAAACGAGGGAAGGGAAGGGGAAAACGAAGGGGAGAACGAGCGGAAATAGGGGGAGAACGAAGGAAACCGAAGGAATCATAAGAAATGCAGCGCAACATTCTCAGTACCTCCGCGAGCCCGTCGCCCTCCGCGCCCTGGCAAGGGCGCAGCGTCAGCAGGCTCCCGCCGTGCGCGTCTGCCCACGGGCGGCCCTCTGCGAGCTCCCACCGGGGCCGCGGCTCCTCCCGAGCTGGGTCGGACCGACCGCCCGGCGAGGGACCTCGACCCTCCCGCGCCTCATCCTGTGCCCGTTCCTCCTGTTCCTGCTCCTGCTCCTCCTCCTCCTCCTCCTCCTCCTCCTCCTCCTCCTCCTCCTCCTCCTCCTGTTCCGCCCTGCTCCTCTTGTTCCGCCCTGCTCCTCCTGCTCCTCCTGAACCTCCTGTGCTCCTCCTGCTCCTGCTCCTGCTCCTGCTCCTCCCCCTCCTGCTCCACCTCCTCCTCCTCCTCCTCCTCCTCCTCCACCCCCTCCTCCTCCTCCTCCTCCTCCTCCTCCTCCTCTTCTCTTCTTATTCTTCGTCTTCATCATGTTCATCATCATCATCACCACCATCATCACTCATCACCACCACCACCACCAACACCACCACAACCACCACCAAATCATCATCATCAATCATCATCATCATCATCATCATCATCATCATCATCATCATCATCATCATCATCATCATCATCATCATCATCATTATCAGCATCGCATCCTCATCAGCACATCTCATCATTTCATCCTCATCCCTCTCTTCTTTCTCAATATCATGTTCTTTCCTTACTTCCCTCTTCTATTCTCCCCTCCATTCCCTCTCTCCTCCTCCTCGCTCCTCCTCCTCCTCCTCCTCCTCCTCCTCCTCCTCCTCTTCCTTCTCTTCCTCCTCCTCCTCCTCCTCCTGCTCCTCCTGCTCCTCCTGCTACTCTTGAGGGCCACAGCTTCGGAGGCATGTTGCCTCCACTGCAGCAGGGGGCTGTAGCGGCTGATGACGGAAAGCATCATGCGCACAGCCGCGCGTGCGTCCCTCCCCTCCTCCCCCCCTCCACCCGCCTCCTCTTCTCCCCCCCTCCCTCCTCCTCCTCTCCCCCCTCCTCTCCCTCCCCCTCTCTTCCCCCCCCCCCTCTCCTCTCCCCCTCCTATTCCTCCCCCTCTCCCTCCCCCTCTTCCCTCCACCCCCTTCACGCCCCTCCTCTTCCTGCCCCTCCCTCCTCTCCTCCTCTCTCCGTCCCCTCTCCCCCCTCCTCTCACCTCCCCCTCCTCCTCCCCCCCTCTCTCCCTCCCCCTCCTCTCCCCCCCCCTCTACACTTTACTCATATGAATACTACTCTCCTCCTTATGAATACTACTCTCCTCCTTCCCCTGATGACGTGCTGGGAGTGTTCGCCCCCCCCCGCGTCCTGCTTTTTTACACACAGGATTCCCGGCAGTTGGGTTTTCGCCTGCATTTGTTTCCAAAATGCTGCTCTCGCTGAGGCGCCGGCCTCATTTTCGGGCCCCGCTCGTTCCGAATCGTGCTCCCGCTGCAGCGTGGGTCTCATTTTCGGATCGGTGTTTTGCCTCCGTCGTTCAGGATGGCGTTCTCGCCCCAGCGCGGGCCTCTTTCTCGCCGCCCATCCGCCCGCCACCACCGCACCGCGCCCCGCCCCGCCCACCGCCACTTCCACCCACCAGCGCACCCACGCACGCACGCACGCGCACCGCCACCACCACCCCACTACCCCACCCACCACCACCACGCTACACCGCGTCACACCACATCACACGCGCGCGCACACAGACACGCACGCACGCACGCACGCACGCACGCACGCACGCACGCACGCACGCACGCACGCAGCACGCACACACACGCACACACACCACACACACACACACACACACACACACACACACACCACACACACACACACACACACACACACACACGCACACACGCACACACCACCACCACCACCACCACACCACCGCCACCACCACCACCACCACCGCCATCACGCACGCACGCACCTGGCCCACCACCAAACCACCAAGACGCCACACCACGTCACACCACAGCACACGCACACACGCACACCACACACACCACACCACCACCACCACCACCACCACCACCACCACCACCACCACCACCACAACCACAACCACAACCACAACCATAACCATAACCACAACCACGCACACACGCACGCACGCACGCGCACCACCACCCAATACGCACGAGCGCGCGGAGTCACAGGTCCGCTACGACACGCGTCCGCGGATAAAGAAAATCAGCGCCATGGTAAGGGATGGGAGGGAGGGGTAGGACGACAGATATGACGCGAGCGCACCTAGCTTGCCTCTCCCCCTTCCCCCCCCCCCCCATCCTCCGGATCGGATACGCCGCTCCTCTGCGCCGGGGCGGCCGCCCGCGAGGGCCGCGGCCACGGCGTCGACGGCGTCGAAGCCCACGTTGTGCCTTCCGGGGGGGGGGGGGGTGCTGGCCAGCGGCCCGGGCAGGGCCGCGGAGCTCCTCTGGGGCCTTAGGGACGGTTCCCAGTCAGGAGGAGGAGAAGGAGGAGGAGGAGCAGGACGAGGCGGAGGAGGCGGAGGAGGAGGAGGAGGCGGAGGAGGCGGAGGAGGAGGAGGCGGAGGAGGAGGAGGAGGAGAAGGAGGAGGAGGAGGAGGAGGAGCAGGACGAGGCGGAGGAGGAGGGCGAGGCGGAGGAGGGCGAGGCGGAGGAGGAGGAGGAGGAGGAGGAGGAGGGGGGCGGGGAGGGCCAGCGGCCCGGTCATGGCCGCGGTGCTCTTCTGGGGCCTTGGAGGGTTCTCAATCAGGGCCACCTAAACGCCGGGACGCGCCAGACCGGGATATCCAACATACGACAGGTGCGTGTCGTGTAGACCCCAGCGTTGGCTCCTGACACCGCTGGGATCGTTCAACTTGAACCGTTCAACCTTGAACGGTCGGTCGTTCCCGCAGCGTCCGATCGTTCAACATCGAACGATTCCGGGTTGCTGGCGGCGCTCAACGTTGAACGCCAGCGGCGGGGTCGCCGCAGGTCGACACGACGTGGACCCACCGTACCTGGAAATCAGTTTTTTCCGACGGCGGCACGAACAACAGGGACTGCACAATAGGGCGGCACGGACGAAAAGCTGCGCTGCAGCATTCCTGGAAGAAGCCCAGACGAAGGCCATGAAAGCCTGCTTCCACTAGACACGACAGAGACTCGAATCCTGCAGTGAAGCAACACGAAGATGCAATGGATGACCAAGTGCAGCAACAAACGAAATGCACTGGACGACCAAACACTGACTTTGCAAAGAAGGGTGTTGTTTTTTGTCCGACTTGCCAATGTCCTGGTAGTCTTTGTCCTGGTCTCGGGGAGGGGGCTGACTCAGGTGCTGTCAGGGTTCCCGGATGTTTTCGGAGGTTCGTGCAGGTCTCCGACGGTTTTTGAATACGCGGAACAAGAAAACGAAGACTAATAAGAAGAGGCAGGAGAGGAGAAGAGGGGTAGAAGGAGGAAGAGGAGGACAGACGGACACCTCGGGGCAGAATGGGTGACTCCAGCAGCCTCGAATTGCCCCAGGACAGACAGAACCGCCGCGAATTCGGGCATCTGGCCCGCCCGCAACTCACAGAGCTTTTTTTTAAGCCTCCGCATTTCACCTGGAAAGCACAACTAGCTTTAGGTCGGGCATGTCCCCCTACAGGCAGAGTTTGGGCGAAAAATATAAAATAGCAGAAAACAGCAAGCAAACAAACAAACAAAAGGTAAACAAAATAATCAAAGAATCGTCCCCTGACTATTGATTTGACTACAGTTGAATGTGTTCCTGTAGAGGGGCATGCCCGATTTAAAACTAGCTTTTAAACCCAAGGAGGCCCGCTGCGGAGCCCGCCAGACTACAGCGGAGGCCAGTTCACAAGAAACCTTCCACAAGAAACACAACCCTGAGATCCCAGGACGTCCATTGACTGAGCATTTTCTTAGGGTAGAGGGCTCAGGATGAAATCGATATAGGCATTTGCACCTCGAAAATCAATCCGTCTTGTGATTAACCTCTTGCAGATTTAAGCCTCGAACATCAATCGAAACGGTATTTCAGATTTTACAAGTTGCCCTCCACCCAGAGAGAATGCTCGAACTGAGTTTGGTGTGGGAACGCCACGCCCTCCATGGCAAAGCCATCGAAATTCAAGAAACCCAGGGCACCCTGGAGGCAAGCAGGGTGTTTCTTGGCATGGTTCTCCCCTCGAAAGGTTGGAGACAGCCCGGCCTCGTGCCGTCGGCGCCCATGCCCACGTTCCCCAGCCCCACCACCGCGATGCGAGTATCGTTCGACCGATCCTTCTCCCTTCGGACGTGGCCTGGGCCCCACCGGCCAAATCATCCCCCCAGATCGGGATTTAGGTTGCTCTTTTCCAGCTTCGAGTAGCGCATCCCCAACTTGGGGGGGGGGGGGGAGGATGGTGGGAATCGGGATGGGGGCTGGGACTGGGATGGGGATGTGCGGTTTCCCCCGGGGCCGTAGGCGACCCGAGGGAGGAGGAGGAGGAGGAGGAGGAGGAGGCGGAGGAGGAGTAGGAGGAGGAGGAGGAGAAGGAGGCGGAGGACGGGTCGCCCGAGCCCCTCGGAGAAGCCCTCCAGATGGGCACCGATCGGTGCAACGATACCGACGATGGCCGGAGTGCCCGCCCCTGACGCGCGGCGCGGCGCCCACGCCTCGGGGATGGACAGACCCCCCTTTCGTAACACGTGGTTTCGTGAAAACGACCCGAGGCCCAAACCCGGCGGGCGCAGGCCTGGAAAAGAACGGCCACGGCGCCGCCTCGAGAACCGAAAGTGCACAATTCACTAATCGACGTGTCACTGTCGGGGGTTCTTTGGAGGCCTGGAAATGGGCACCAACACCCAAACAGGGGGTTGCCTCCACAGGGGGAAGTTGATCCTAGATTTCGGTGGTGGTGGTAATTAATATTTCGGCCACCTTGGAAGCCAGCATATTACCACCATCACCGAACTTAAGATCTCCTTCCCTCGGTGGAGGCGTACCGCCGATCTTGGTGTTGGTGTCAATCTCTGGGCCTGCGATCGACGTGCCTCTGTCGGGGGTTCTGTCCACCCCCCGCACGCCCCGCGGCCCCGGCGCGCCCACCGCCCCGCCCGCTGCGCCAGGCGGAGGCCCAGGCCGCCGCCAACGAGCGCCGGGGCTGCAGGCAGGCGGCTCCTCCGGCAGGCAGGGCGCCCGGGCGGCGCCGCGCCCGGGGCGCAGGCCGGCAGCTCCGGCAGTTGCAAAATTTGTTTCCCCCGTTTTTGTCTGCGTTTTAGGCGACAGTGGGCAGTCGCCTGCTCCTCCTCCTCCTCCTCCTCCTCCTCCTCCTCCTCCTCCTCCTCCTTCTCCTCCTCCTCCTCCCCACCTCCTCCCCCTCCTCCTCCTCCTCCTCTCCTCCTCCCCTCCTCTTCCTCCTCCTCCTCCTCCTCCTCCACCTCCTCCTCCTCCTCCCTCCTCCTCCTCCCTCCTCCTCCCCTCCTCCTCCCTCCCTCCCTCTCCTCCTCTCTCCTCCCCTCCTCCTCCTCCTCCTCCTCCTCTCCTCCTCCCCTCCTCCTCCTCCTCTCCTCCTCCCTCCTCCTCCTCCTCCTCCTCCTCCTCCTCCTGCCTCCTCCTCCTCTCCTCCTCCTCCTCTCCTCCTCCTCGAGGGGGGGGGGGCGTGAGCTGCCCCTCTGCGCTCCCTCCTGGGGCCGTCCTGGGGGGGCTCTTAAGGGGCCGTCGTCGCGGCCTCCGGGGGCCGTCGTGGCGCCCCCCTCCGGGGCAAGCTGGGCAGGCTCCCGAGGCCTCTTGGAGCGCGCTTCTTTCTCCTTTCGGCGACAGTTTGCACTGTAGGGGGAGGGGGGGAGGAGGGGCCAGCGGGGCTCCTGGAGGCCTCTTGGAGCGCGTTTCTTTTCTTTTCGGCGACAGTTTGCACTGTAGGGGGAGGGGGGGAGGAGGGGCCAGCGGGGGGGTATGATGTAACGCCTCCCCCCCGCCGCGTGCCCGATGCCCACGGCGGCAGGTGCCCGGGGCGCCCTGGGGGGGGGAGGGGCGTTGCGTTTAAGGGGGGGGAGGGGGCCCATATAGTGCACATCGCTATTATATTCCAAGCAAGAAAGAAACACGCTCCAATCAGTGCTTGCACTGAAGGGATCCGGGTACAGGGAGAACCCTCCAAAACATCGTCCCCAGACCCCCGTGGGAGAACCCTCCCCCGTGGGAGAACCCTCCCCCGTGGGAGCCATTTCAGACCTCCCCCGTGGGAGAACCCTCCAAAACATCGTCCCCAGACCCCCCAGGCCCTCCAAGATAGCCTGGAAGAGACCCCCCCCCCGAAATGAGACCCCCCTCCTTTTATTACGAAATCTGGAGTAATCGACGCGTCTCTGTCGGGGGTTCTGTCCGCCCCCCGCACGCCCCGCGGCCCCGGCGCGCCCACCGCCCCGCCCGCCGCGCCAGGCGGAGGCCCAGGCCGCCGCCGACGAGCGCCAGGGCTGCAGGCAGGCGGCTCCTCCGGCAGGCAGGGCGCCCGGGCGGCGCCGCGCCCGGGGCGCAGGCCGGCCGCTCCGGCAGTTGCAAAAAATGTTCCCCCTCCTCCTCCTCCTCCTCCTCCTCCTCCTCCTCCTCCCCTCCTCCTCCTCCTCCTCCTCCTCCTCCTCCTCCTCCTCCTCCTCCTCCTCCTCCTCCTCCTCCTCCTCCCCCCAGTGAAGCGTGTTTTTTTTTCTGCACTTTCGGCGACAGTGGGCATTCGCCCCCCGAGGCCCCCAAGAGGCCCCCAGGAGGCCCCTATAGGAGGCCCCAGAGAGGCCCCCAAGAGAGGCTCCAAGAAGAGGCCTCTCGAGGGCCGGCGGAATGAGCGAAGCGATCAAATAAAGCGTGTTTTTTTTCTCTGCATTTTCGGCGGCAGTGGGCATTCGCCCCACGAGGCCCCCAAGAGGCCCCCAGGAGGCCCCTAGGAGGCCCCAAAGAGGCCCCCAAGAGGCTCCAAAGAGGCCTCTCGAGGGCCGGCGGAATGAGCGAAGCGATCAAATAAAGCGTGTTTTTTCTGCATTTTCGGCGACAGTGGGCATTCGCCAGGGGGAGGGGGGGGGGCGTGAGCTGCCCCTCTGCGCGCCCTCCTGGGGCCGTCCTGGGGGGGGGGGGGCTCTTAAGGGGCCGTCGTCGCGGCCTCTGGGGGCCGTCGTGGCGCCCCCCTCCGGGGCAAGCTGGGCAGGCTCCCGGAGGCCTCTTGGAGCGCGCTTCTTTCTCCTTTCGGCGACAGTTTGCACTGTAGGGGGAGGGGGGGAGGAGGGGCCAGCGGGGCTCCTGGAGGCCTCTTGGAGCGCGTTTCTTTTCTTTTCGGCGACAGTTTGCACTGTAGGGGGAGGGGGGGAGGAGGGGCCAGCGGGGGGGTATGATGTAACGCCTCCCCCCCGCCGCGTGCCCGATGCCCACGGCGGCAGGTGCCCGGGGCGCCCTGGGGGGGGGGGAGGGGCGTTGCGTTTAAGGGGGGGAGGGGGCCCATATAGTGCACATCGCTATTATGTTCCAAGCAAGAAAGAAACACGCTCCAATCAGTGCTTGCACTGAAGGGGTCCTAGCGGACATGGAAAGATGTGGCGAAAGTGTCCCGTCGATCATTGGTGGCCGGTTGGGTTCCCGGGTTCCCGGTTCCGGGCTCCCGGGTTCCTGGTCATTGGCTCCGGGCGGATTTGGGTTCTGGGTTCCTGGGTTCCCCGGTTCCCGCTCGATTTCCTTATCGATCTCTTTATCGATCCGATTTCAAACCATCCACTAATTCGAGTTTTTCTCTTGTGTAATTTCACACCAGGCGTTTTCGCTCGCTTGTTGACGCCCTACCAGACCACCCCAACCGAACCCGAAGACCCAGATGTCGGGTTCGGGGGGGTTACGGGTTTCAGCTGTGCTTCTTCAGTATTCCCCAACGCCCCCCCCCACACTGGAAAAATAGAGACCAAATTTGGGTTTTCGGATTGGGTTGGGGTGGTCTGGTGGGTGGTGATTTTCGGGCCCCGGGCCCTCACAAATCGATCCGGCTCGAGGAATGCCGCAGAAGGGCGGGGTTTAGGGTTTCTAGTCGCGATGTGTTCGCGATGATGTCGTACTTTTCTGTTCGCAACGTCGGACTGCAGGTGAAGCCGCGGGAGCCGAGGCGCAAGCGGCACGCGCGGGGCACCTGGCACGCAAGCATTCTCCTTGAACTCTGCGGCCTTGAGCCATAGGGAGACAAACGAGGCGTGGTGACCACCAGGATAGGAGACGGAGGAAAGGAAGTCTCATTGGAACCTGGGAGCGGCAAAACCTTTGTTGATCACATCCTGGACACCCTGCGCAGTCCTCCTCCGCCTCACCCCTTCTCCTCCCCATGCGCTCACGCACCACCATGCCTCATCCCACTACATCATCACTCATCATCATCCAGCCACCCTTTGAGTCACTCACGTTATTCCATCATTTATTCATCATCCTGCCATGATTCCATCATAATCGCTCAACATCAACATCGTCGTCGTCAGCATCACCCACACACACACCACCATCGTCATCACTATCACCATCCCATCGTGATCATCGACCAAGAAGAACCTCCTGTTTGACTGAATCGCGACACGCTCTCGAGCTGGAACCCCCTTTTCCGATGGGACCTCATGCTGGGAATTCGAACGAGTTATCGGAATCCTGTAACTGCCGTCGCTGGTTGGGTTCCCCTGGCCAGAATTCTGACGAAATCTCAGGCGGGAGCTTCGTCTGTGAGTGACTTGCGAGGCAGTGCCACGCGAAAACCATTTCCATATGGGGACCGCACCTCATGTTGGTAATCCGAGCGTGCCATCGGAAGCATGTAGCCGTCGTCATTTCGCGGACCCCCAGATCTGAATATGAAGGAAGTATCACGCGGGGTTTCGTCTGTGAATGAATTGCGAAAAAATCTCAAGCGGGAGTCGCCTCCCCATGGGTCCGCGCTTCACGTTGGTAATGCGAGCGGGTCATCGGAACCATCTAACTGTCGTTACTTTTTTCGGCTCCTCTGGACTGACCACATGGAGGAAGTCTCACGCGGGGGCTTCGTGTGCGCGTGGACAACGAGGAGGTTTCAGGCGGGATCTCCCTACCTATGGGGCCCGCAGGCCACGTTGATCACGAGGCGTTCCTCAGGCGTCTGTGAGCGAGTTGCAAGGAAGTCTCAGGCGGGACCCCCCATCCCTAGTCACAAATCGCTCGAAAAGTTCGACAAGAGAGCGGTGGACTCCAAGGCTGAGGCGCAGCA